CACTTCTCGATGGAGCGGACCTGAAGATCTTTGTGCAGAAAATGTCACAACCGGCCGGTCGCATCGACACACTTTTGGGCCCCAACTGTTCAAGCTGACAGCGACAACGATTCTTTCCTTTACAAACGATTCCGACATGCTGAGTCAGTCTGCGGAGTTAAATGGCAGAACTGTTGGAGACTTTTACATTTCTTTGCAATGTTATTTTTCAACTGATTTTATGCAAGTGAAATCAGGCCCCAATTTAAAGCCATGCACTGTAAAAACTGGGATTGGAGTTAATTAATATCTACTAAATAAATAATAGTAATCGTTACATAATAAAAAAGACTAAGTACAGTTTTGAATTACATTGAGCTGAATTTAATAAATGCTGCTTATTTATTAATTACATGTTAGGAAATTCTAATCAATTATATTAATTGTCACTTTGTTGCCACAATTTTTTTACGTTACCATTGGTCAGATTTTTTAGAGTGTGGGGGGGCATGGGGGGCATGGGGGGGAGTTTGTTGAGGCGTTTGGGATTAAGTCTAATTGGACGTGAGACGCACTTTGGGTTTCCAGCGGCAACGCTTGGCAGATGGCGCCACGACGTCCGATTAAACGACTCCAACTCGCAATGAAGCTTTTAATCAGCTCCTTTTTATTAAAGCAACCAAATAATAGTGGGATTTAGTTTCTGCTTTCTCTCTTTCTCACGCTCTCTAACGACTGAAAACCCACAATATCTACTAACAAACGGCATCATGGAACCACCATCATGAGACAAACTCAGCATTAAAACTTGTTTAGCATCACGGTGTAAATGTAAAGCCTCATCTGAAAAGTGCGAATCATCCCAACAGAAGATGCCGTAGCCAGACGAAAAGTGACCGTCCTGTTTTGGTCCACGTGATGTCGGAATGAAAACCATGGCGCCTTCGACACCTGCTGGCGCCCGATGAGCCTTTTAGCCGCCGCACGAGGAGCAGATAGGATTATGATATTATGATTATGTCTTCCAAATTTGATTTGTACGCAAGGGAAGATGAGTCGCTCTTCCAATGGCTTCCCAATTACCTTTTATGGGAGGGGGTACTTGCCTGCTTCGGTATGAATTATGCATGGCGTATGAACGTTAAAGTGGATTAAGTGCAGAGATTAACACAAATTAAATTTGATAAACAGAATGCTGCTTGTTATGTAAATGACACTTGTCAGCCTAATCTGAGACTCACAAACCGACAACCAAATAACGCCTTTATCAATACCAACATTATTTTCTCGTTTTGTAGTGTTGGGTCTCCCTAAAGACGCCTCACAAAAATCGCTAAATGAAGCCCTAGTGACATAAAGTGTCCCGGGGCAGCGTTCCTTCCTTTGCCACTCTGATTGGGAAAAGTGGACTGTAACATCCAGCTGTTCCTCTGGAGCCCCTCGTCGCGTCCTTCAGGGAAAGGGATCCCACATATATATATATATATATATATATATATATATATATATACACATATACATTATATATATATCTTACATTACGTTAAGGGGGAGGACTTCCGGAGCCTCACACCGAGGTAAGAAGACCTTTTCTGGTCTGGTGGTTCGACAGCTGAGACTTCTGTGATCCGGTTGATACTGGGGTGTTCTTTTAATATTTCTTTAGATCTTCCCAATCTCCTCTCTTCAGCAAGATCACTGAGGGCGAGGAGACGTTTTCGCCGCTGAAAGCTCTCCTGTCCTGTGCCATACGCGTCCTTTTCAGGTTTGTGACGTTTGCATTGAGGATGCTTTCTTTTCTGTAAAAGTGTTAAAGAATTTGGGGAAAAAAAATTTGAGTTCCCATCTAAAGCTTCCTTACATCCGTCTATGAGCCTTCTTCACCATGAATACTCAATATCGTAACACCTGCTACTGTTTTCTACCCACTCGCTAATGGCACACGGATTTGGAGAATCTATTTGTTTAGGATGCATTCACCATCTTTTAGGTATACTAGCGTAAGGCAGCTCCTCCCTCCTGCGTGGGTGGAGCCGAGAGGTTTGTTTGACGCAGCTGGTCCCTGGTGCTTCAGGATCCCCCTCGTCTTCCTCCTCGTCTTCCTCCTCGTGGTGCCGCTGCTGGTGAACATGAGCATGCTCTCGTCACCTGATGGGCTGCAAGTGGTGTCTGCAGCACCTGCACTGGACAGGAGCCTCCGTCCATCACCCCCCAACCAACCAACCAACCAACCTACTATGATGTGTCGGTCGTGAACGATTCGAATCCTTACAAGGACTCGAGAGTAACGAGTCCTCTCAAAAAAAGATTAGTTCATTTTCTCGTGGCCACGCATCGGGACTTGCACAGGCTCAATGAACGAAACATTGACCCGAAGACACGGTCGGGAGGGGAATTTATCTTACCCCCCCGTCCAGCTGCCGGTTTGAGTGGCGGTGCTCGAGAAGTGGATTCACTTTGGCTCAGTCCACTACTTTGGAAATTTAGCAGCGTGTGGATGTCACACTTTCTACAACACACCAATGTTCCTACAGACAAAACAAAAAACTCTGTATGGTGTTACATTAGTGAAAGCAACACCAGAACCCATTTATAGCCGGTTCTAACAAGTGGCGAGAGGAGAACAGATGAGACGCAGCGTCCAGGTTCATGACACAGTGGACCCCCCCCCCTTGTACCTTGTTAAAAGTTCCCAGCTGAGCCCGGAGGAAAGTGGTGCACGTCCCACTTCTCACCGCCACTGACGCTCTGCAGAACGACGGCAGAAATCCTTCTAATTGAGCCCTTTTCTCAAGCATTTAAACTTGATCATCGCCCCTCAGCAGTCGGACAATTCCGATTCAGTAAATAACCCTGATAACCCTTTTAGAGCATGTTTTTATTGCACATAATCGTAGTGGTTCAGCAACTACTCTGACAGACAATAAGCTATTCGTTGTTGTGGAAGGCCTCTGCTCTTTGATGGGCGGCACAATTAAACTAAACAATAAAACACTCAAATTGCCACAATACCATCTTTGTCCTTAGCAATTCATGTTCCCATTTAAGCGGATAAATGTTGCTCATTTCCTCGGACTAATTGCTTTCAGCTTGGACCCGCTTTGTTGTTCTAATGGGATTTTGAAAAAGCCACGATTTTATTAAATATTCTAGGGACTGGTTGGTAGAACGGTGCCTCCAGTACACGTCCCTCCTCAAAGTGCCTCATCTAAGAAGGTAAAGAGACCTCGGAGGGATGTGGAGAATGAATGCAGTCGACATTGGAGGTTTACCTACATCCCCTTTAACAAGAACTCTGCAAGTCTCGCGTTTCAGCCCGACAACATGCATGACGGACTTGATGACTCATGCTTGGTCGGGCTTTATGATAGATTACCGGGGGGGGGGGGGGGGGTAACAGTCGGTCACGATTCCAATCAAATCAAAAAGTTGTTTTTGAAGTTTGCGTATGATTAAAGTGACTGTATATGCACACACGTGTTACAACTACACGCGATCACAGCCCGGCCTCGGAGGCAATAAGGTTTTCAAAAGAAATCCAATTAAAAGCGCCGGGATCCTGAGGAAACAGGAGAGACCAGCAGCTTTTAAAAAGCCATTTCCGAGCGAGTAGCCTGCGGCGGTCAGGGTTCTGCTCCGAATACTCTGAAAGCGTCGGGGTTCCCTTTTCTAACAACCGGTGCGCTAACACACACGCCGACAGACACACAAACTAGGGACGCACAGTACACCTCCTTTCTGGATTCATTTAATACGGAGAATCTGACGATAAAGTCAGATGCAATCAAATCTGTAATTGGAAGCATTGAAATAAAAGAAGAACGGGTAGGACTTGACGATAGCATCGCTGCTATGCTAGCAGGTTGAGGTAAAAAACCAGTAACATTCAATAAGAGGAAGAGTCGATTTTTAAATGGGCTTTATTTCAGCTAATATGCCTTGAAACTGATCATCAGGATTCCTCCATCGAGCTGCTGGATGAATTAATCAGCACTGATAGTTAGACTGCGCATCAACTCTTATGTTACGTTGTCACAACGACATTTAGAGTCCTAAAAAGGGACATCCCAGTTACATCTGCAGGGCCGATGACGAAGATGATCACAGGACAGGAGAGGAAGAACCCGGCCGGCCTGGATCCATTCAAGACTGAGATGCGAGATAAATAGAACACTGAACTGATTTAGTTATGATGTTGGCTTTAGTTGAATAATTCACGTTATTTATCTTAGTGATCATCCGTCAAGTTAAATCGGAGCAGCACTCGTCTCTCCCGTTCCTGAGACACGACGCCGGACCGTCCTCTGACACCCCCCCCCCCATCAAAAGAAGAACAGGCGCGGAGACAGCTGCCCCGAGGGGCGGGGGAGACCCATCACCTCTGCCTGAAGGGCTTTAGAAGTAATTGAAGCTGAAGCACAATCCCGATGCGGCGCGGCGTCAGGGTGTCACGGGAGGCAGCTAATTGGGGGGCAAGCCCTCGGTGATTTGGACGGCGAGGGGCATTAGCGGGTTTGGGAGAAGTTGAACTAAGTGTGTTGGATGACTTGAGAACTTTTGAGGTTTCGGGTAATTGGTGTGATGTCTACAGCTCTGGTTATCTGCTGTGAGTAATGGGCCGCTTCTTCTGGCCCGTCGGAGGAAAGAGGAGGAGTCCCACGAAAATAAGTGACGCAACAAGGATGTCCACAATTGGCCATAAATCAAAGCGTCTCCTTTAGAGTTGCACCTGTTTTGTTTTTTGCTTTTTTAAATGGGCTGAGTGATGTCTCACTCTTTGAAGAGACGCCTGCTTCCCCCCTTCGGAGCGTCGGGTCGGACCTGGATTGGTGACAAACGGGATCAAAACAAGAGTCCTGCCGCAAAGCGGATTGCAAATTAGCTTGCTGAACAAAGGATCTAAAGAAAAAGATTAAAACGAGTTTTTTGTTTACTCTGATCTTTAAAATTGTCCTGCATTTGTAATGTTAATGCTAATTACAGTTTTCATGCATACGAGTTGGAAAAGCATGGAATCGGTGTTAATATTTTAGACAGTGCCATTTTATTATCAACCATGTTTGTGTAGAATGTGGTTTATAAACATCAGAGTACGAGTGGGAATTACTTTCCATGACGGGACGGCGTTTTCCTCCACATCTGTCAAACCTGGAAAGTAAAAAGCAATTCACAGGAAAGGAAACATTCTCGCACATTTTTCAGCAGCACCGAGAGACGGGGAGAGAGCGAGGATGCGCCGGTTTCCATAGCGATCGTCGGCACGGTCACATGGTTACCTAGGAACTAGTCCTGTGATGCTGTGCAATTTATTTGTTTATGTTTGGCTGTCGCTTACGTAGGACAAAGCCGCACATCTTTGCATTCCTGACAGCTAAAGAGTTGTCAGTGAAATCTAAAAAAGGTCTGAGTGTGAGAGATGACGAACGCGCCCGGGGGGAGGAAACCCCTCCCTCATGTCTCACACACTCGCCCTGAGTGCCTTGAGTCCATCTCCACACAAAAGGACACTGGGGTCATACGCCGGTCGGGAGGACCACACACAGGCACCGTGGACTGAATCTCCATTTGGTGCATGGTGATCAATGCTCAGTGTGTGTGTGTAAAAGCAATGGGGTCAAACACAATGAAGATTAAATACAGGCCCCAAGTAATTTATGCAGATATGAATCACTCTTCAAAGCTTTCATTTCACCTTGTCTGAAAGCATGACCTATACCCCCCCCCCCCCCCCCCAAACGCCCCCACACTCCATGATTTGATTACCAGGAAGGAGAACAGCAGCTGGATATCACAGTAATCACATTTGAAAATGCATTCTGATTAATAATTGATACTGAACTAATGCAAGGACGAATTGAGATGAGAAAAAGTAGAGTTGCCACAGTTCCCAGTTATTGAATGAGAGCTACACTTCTAAAAAGGTAGAAATGTCAAGTATGGACGGTGTGAGAGAGTGAAAATATGAAGTGTCCCTGCATGACAGCGGCAGAAGAAGTGTTCCCAGGGTGAGGAGAGGCTCTGAGAGGGTCTGCCTAATGACAAGACTGACTTGATTAAACCCTCTCACCCTCCTCCCTTCTTCCAATCAGAAATCAGTGATGGTGGCGCATGGAGCACAGAGGGAGTGCTGGGAACCGCAAGGTTGGCGGTTCAAACCCTAGGTGCTCCATGTCCCATGTCGAAGTGTCCCTGAGCAAGACACCTAACCCCTAATTGCTCCCTGAGAAAAAATGTAAAAAGCCATGGGTTAAAAATGTAATGTGAAATGACCTGTAATGTAATTTATTCTCTCGCTCTACAGGGAGGTATAAAAAAAAGACTTTGCAAGTGTTTCATTGTCAAACAAGATATAAATCACAGGAGCAGAAACGTCTAATATCTTAAAAGGTACATCAAGGATTAAAAAAAAGCTGAAAGAAATAGCAGATGTATGTTCTAAGCTTTGTGTTCCTTTACTTACTATTGTTTCCATATCCTGTTGAACACCGCCCTCTGCTGTTCCTTTGAGTACATTGCTCCATGACCCGGCGACTGTGTACAACAGCATCTAAATGCTGGAAGTGAAATAAAACGGAAACACAGATTTTTTTGTAATGTTTAGAAAGCATCTATTGGGATGACATTGAACAAATTCATGAATGATTGAAAAAGATCAGATTTAGCAGCAAACGTTATAAAGACCTGATGTAAAGCTTGTGAAAAGTACGTTGTCATAAAGCTTCAATGTACAAAGGACTTTATAACATATTTGATGTGACAGAACTCGATCATGACCGATAATGTGTTGAGTTTGAAATGCAGGACCAATGCAGACGAATCAGACAGGACACAAGACGTATTTGTTATGACGTGGGACGGGTACGTATCTATTTTCGGTTTCTTTCCATTAACAACGTGATCAGTCTCCTTAGAGACCGTCAAAAATTGCCATTGCCGACTATATTTCAAGTCGTCATGACGGGGTATTGGGTAAAGTTTTCAACCAGCAATAATCACGCCTCGGATAAACCTCATCGGCTACGATACTGCCACTGCGCAAAGCTGACGACTCACAGTAACCAGCGAGCGGGTCTATCGTATCACCACCCTTCTCTGTTACGGTGCGTGTGGGCGTGGCTTACATAGACCAGTTTATTTTTAAGAGATTACAGTGAGAACAATTTATAAATATGAAGAGAGAAACATCAACAATAACGCTAAAGTTACAAAACATGTATGTACGATGGTAACAGCCCGTGAGGAAAATATAGGATCGGTAAATAAAACAAAGACGTATCAATAATCCCCGTCTTTGAAATGTAACACGCAATGGTGGAAACGTGTGGTAATTTATACACACAAAGACATGCCACTAGTAAACGATCCGACATAAAAACGCACCACAACGTGAGATAAATACACGTACAATTGAAATAATGCGGAAGTGACGTAAACGCTACGTCTATATTTTAAGTTTCCCTCAATCCAGACGGACTGGAAAGGCGCGAATTGAATTTAGTCCACGCAATGCTTACTGAGTGCTCAACCTAACGACTCAAACATGTAAACCATACTGTACATGGCGCAATTTGAGAGCGACATTTGACTTGTAGAATATGTAGACATATGCAATTAACTTTGACAGGAAGATCAGTCTCCTTAGAGACCGTCAAAAATTGCCAACGCCGACTATATTTCAAGTCGTCATGGCGGGGTATTGGGTAAAGTTTTCAACCAGCAATAATCACGCCTCGGATAAACCTCATAGGCTACGATACTGCCACTGCGCAAAGCTGACGACGAACAGTCATCAATGCGGACCTGTCTCAGAGCCCTGCATCCCTCGGTTAGGGTGCCCAAGTCGTTTGAATAATACAAATGAAACAAGCTCAATGTCACTTTCATTATAAGTGTCTGGTTGAGAGGCACCGGATTTTAACTGGTTATGAGTCGTTTCTGCGACCCAAACGGCAGAAATCACGCCTCCGATTAATGTTTATATATCTCGTTTAACGTACCATGTGACTGTAAATGGGCGGGACTATTTATTTCGGCAGACAGGCGCACACACAGGCGGACATATTGGAATCCAAGATAAAGCTGTATTAGTTCCAAGACTAGTTATTGTGCAAACATGGCAAACATACATGACACATATAAAACAAAAAAACAAGAAGTCGGTCAGTTGCAGTAAGATTGACACAAAAATGTATATCAATTAGGATTTGCAAGATATGCACGGTGAAAATTTAGTAGTAGTATTAACATCGAATATGATCAAGCATAATACACTCTTTCACACAACAATGTCATTGAAATGGAATACATTTTATAATATTGGTATGTGGATTGAAATGGAGATACTCCAGCGGTACGAAACTGGAGCCGTTAAGCACGCTCACTATAGCACAATATCATGTACCTCGAAATTATCGCTGGGAGGAAGAATCAAGTACCAATGCAACGCTGTAAGACGTTGACTCTGCCGTCGTTATTTTAGTTTCAGTTAACAGACTTATCAGTCTCCTTAGAGACCGTCAAAAATTGCCATTGCCGACTATATTTCAAGTCGTCAAGGCGGGGTATTGGGTAAAGTTTTCAACTAGCAATAATCGCGCCTCGGATAAACCTCATAGGCTACGATACTGCCACTGCGCAAAGCTGACGAACTCACGTCACCGACAGGCGAGTGATGCCGCTACATACACTGTTCACTTACGGTAGTTCAGTATGAATTCACGACAGTCATTCAGTGTGTCTGTGCACATGGAAAAGTGTGCGCTCGACTAACACAACCTGCTGTTAATTTCGTAGTTTCAAGCTTAAATACGTTTTTCAACTATCCACCATGGACGCAATGCATGATGGGATGTGGTCCCCCACACACTCATTGTAATGTTAGCTCCAAATCCGTACCGTTCTAGTTTATTAACAAGGTATACCAATTTAATGATGCATCGTGCATCATACATGCAAGTTATTTTCACACACAAGTATATATTTTAAGTATTAGGAGGCAAAACGGCCGTAAGACGCAATTCTACGGTGGCCCAGTCGAAATTATTTGTAATCGCAAAATCCTGTTCCGGAAAGATGACACACAAGAACACACCTACGGGCAAAAACACAACGTGCCTCTGTGTTGATGTGGAGGGAGAGGATTGTCCTCTTACGTGTCGAAATGTGGTGGAAAATCACATTTTTATAATGGAGTCATCATTTCAAAAGATCCCCGGCAAACGTCTCTCTGCTCGTTGTGCCCCCCACAATGCTATGCTAGTTTAGCACCACCAGATGTCAGCAAAGACGAGGACAAGCCAGCTCCGTCTGCCCTTTGAGGGCCGCTTGAATTAGAAAGTAACCAATACATATTAGAAACGTACGTACAGAGGAAATATATAACGTAACATATTAAATCGGCATGTCAACAAAGCTGAGGTAAATGTAAATGCTAAATGTAATTATTAATGTACCTTGGATGCACTCGGCTCTGGAAGAACTGGAGGACAGTTTAAATAACTTCGGTTATCCGCAGTTATTGCAAAATTAATTACGGCTTAAATACGTTTGCAATGATCATAACTGACAAGGTGAAGCAGAAACTGAGCTTCACTTGAACTGAGGCAGGTACTCGCGCTACCTCGACATGCTAGCTCTCCCTCGATGATTGAACTCCTGCTCGCTGCTGTGGCTTCCTGCAGATGCCCTTTGACTTACTTTAAAAAGAGAAGAACAAACTACGTGCAGACTTCCCAACAGCACAGGTTGATTGATTCCTCAGTAGGACACGCACCTGTCGTACAGATGGTTCATGGTGGGTGCTGAGCTTGTTAAAATGGGAATGAAAAAATGCCCGTACCGGAAATTGATTAAACGAGTCCCTCCGTTTTCCTACGTGCGCTATTCAATTCAGACCGTGTGATGGATTACCTTTCATAACATCGCTCAAACAAATTCAATGTTTGCAGAAGCTTATTAATTCCAAGCACTGGGCCACAGACGACTTTAGACTATTAACCACGTGGAGCATATGACCATGAATATTTAATTAAGCCCAGAGACACAGCTTTAAAGAAGTCATCTGCACAGTTAAGACTTGTTTTTTCTTATAACAGTTATCTAACTGTTCATTGTATTATTTCTCATTTTACCCCGTCACATTCTCATTTTATTATGTAAAACGTTTCTTAGGATTACAGAGCCACAGGTTTAAAAAAAGAAAAATCAGCAATATACAACTATAATCCTGCCCAGATTGACTTTGTGAGGATTAACAATCACATTTTAATGGAGGATTTCAGATTATTGTTTGAAGAGCGAAAAAATAATTCATTACCCACCATTTATTTCAGGGTAATAAAAATAGATTTAACAGCACAGAAAGGATATGTCTGATACGTGTATTTCCATCCATAAGGCCACAAGCCCTTAGTAAGCACTTTGCATATTGTGTGTTCAAGGTGTGACACAAACGCTACTGTTCACCGTGTAGACATTACAAGCTCTTTCACTTGTTGTGAAGCTTCCGTGGGATGATTCGGGGGCTTTTGGGCACTCAGAAGATAAGCGGTGACGTGACAGGTGTCAAAGCTGCCTCGGCCGACAAATTAGACAGGGATTTGCTCCTGTCAGAATGTCAGGCCAATGAGGTTCATAGAGGTAGGTTTGGATCCCTGTCAGCGACAGGTAAGTACGCAGATAAGGGGATTACACCGTGTTTGCGCCGAGTGATCTGGAATGAATCCTGCCAGCCTGTTTCATCCTCACCTGAAAAAGACAAAATTTCTTCTTTCCTCAACCCGTGAAGCACATGAGCAGAGTTAAAATCACAAGATGATCCCTTTAACCTGTCGTTAAAGGCTTTTGAGGGAACATTACGTTATGGTCATTTAATAATTGTGACAGTAATAATCTCCTCTAATTCTCTGAGGTATGTGATTACTTTTCTTGACTTAGTATTTTGTCCTTTATCACCAGACATTAAATCTGGTTCGGTGGTCCCTCACTGCAATGCTTAAACTTGACCTGTTGAACAAATAACACAGCGCGTCCCTTCAGGCCGTGGCTCTCCCCGGTGGTTGGCTGGGAGATGAAAATAGAGTGTAACAGATGGCGTAGGTGTCTCTGCCATTCAGCACAGGCTGCTGATCAGCCAACATACAATGTCATGCCATCCGAAAGGGAGAAGGCTGCCCATACTCTCCCTTGCACCACCAATCACAGGGCTAGAATAAGAGGTCAGAATCTTAGTTATTTTAAACAATTGGGAGCACCTCGTAGCGGGCTAAGTAACTATCTGTGTTTGTGTGAAATGTGAGCTTGTCAGCTACGACTGTGGACCGCGTTTGTGCCAATAGGCTGATCCAGCTTATACCACACCGTGCAGCTCTCTCCCTATAATCACACATTTACAGACCTTGTCAAGGACGCACAACGACTCAGACTCACTGATATTGCTCAGTAGGGAATGGACGCGCTGCACACTTTGTGTAAACGTGCGTGCACGCAGGGAGGTGTGTGTTTCTTTCCCAAAACACATAGCCATTGTCTATTCTGCACTACATCTTATTAGCCTGGTTAAGGGCATTTATTGATGCTGAGAGGATCTCTGGTGCTCCTCAGAGCCGGGGCCACCTGGACATTACGTGATGAGCTGGGAAACTGTGATTAGATTGTGTTATGAGCAGGGAGAGGAAAACAATGACATTGTTCTTGGGCAAAAGGACAGCTCAGCCAGCGCAAGGGGACATCTGATAAGAGGAGACAAATGTCGCCCACGGTGCCTTTTAGTAAATCCCTAAACTTCAAGGTCAAAGACAGTTACGTGAGGATTTCAGCTCTCTCTCCATGCCACACAACCACATACAATATGCGGGATATTTAAACACATCATGTATGTGTGATATACTCTCTAACAGCTTCTTTAAACATCAAACTTCTGGTTCAAATAGTCCATCTTTCTTTCTCCCTGACACACTCATGCTTGCACAGTGTTCACACCCACCCACACACTGCTGCCACCCATACTATTCCCAGCGTGTGGTTATTCCCGGGCTGAGTCAGAACGGCACCATACGCCTGTCTGTCCGCTTTATGCCAAACCTGATGTCTCCTTGTCGCACATGCTTTGGCGGAGAGTTCCGCACAGAGGAGCCGTCACCCGGCCGCTCGGACATCCCTCCCTGTGTAATTACACGCAAGTCACATTGACAGCTGGAGGGGCACTTAGGCAGGTCACCAAGCTATTCAAATCAAAGTGCTACTTACGCTGTAAATAACTTCCTGCTGTCTACCAGTGGAGACTTTCTTCACACCTTTATTCTTCACCAACATGACAGTTTCCTGTGTCTGTGAGCGGCTCCATCTGTTATCTCTGCATCTTTAGGTTTGCCACTACAGTATAACTGGCAACCCTTGGTTATACAATAAATAACAAGAACTGATGGATACAGACAACGCAGATGCACGGCAAGAGCACAACCGGGGGGGGGGGTGGGGGGAATTATTAGAATGTGTAATATTTCAGGTATTCAGATACAAAGGATCTATATATTATTAACATTCCCAGCACTGACCTGGCCAACTGTACCATAAGTGACTTGTGTGATGGGTCAGAAATGCGTTTTCGTATGAAAACCAAGACCAACTGCTGTACGTTATTTACCAAATGGGATTTGACACATACGCACATTTTTGCAAGATTGAGAATGATTCAGATATTCCTTCTTGTCCTAATGGACTTGCTAATGAGGCATGCGCTTGATAAGCTCCTACTTACATTTCCACAATTCTTTATTATACGCAATGTAAAGAGCTACACATGGTGGATGCAGCATTAGTACAAAAATAATGCAAGTTGTAGATTGTTTTTGTAATGAAAAGTCTTGACTCCAAATCAGAGAGGCGCTAATTATTGCTGTTGTATTGGATTGTCTTCGTGGCATTTGTCTTATTAAATTCTTTTGTTGAACAAACACTGCACGCACAGTAAACATGTGATACAAAATGGTGAAAAGCAATTCACCGGGGAGGCAACACAGTTCTTTAACTACCTCCAGCATTCATGATAAGAATATAGAATATATAACACGCTATAATGTCGCTGCAGGTTTTGTCTTTATAGGAGTTGTAATGTAAATATGTATATTTTATATACATATATAAATGCAGAAATAGGTGTGTTCCGTGTGTTGGTCTTTGTGGTTATTTGTTGAAACAACACCAGCTGCCACCGATAGGGGGCAGTCTACCCACGTGGCAAACCCAATCTGAACTATGAACCTTGAATCTGATCATCACGGACAACTGAAACGCTGTGTCATAAATTAGGTGATATAACGTGTTAACATTCAAAACATTTTACTGTCCGGACCGGCTGAGGGACACTTGATAAATGGTGCCGTTTGACGCCAGCGTGATAACAGATCATCACTATTCAAGCTACATAAAGGCAAGCGGCAGGCAGGTATAAGCACATTGATCAAAATGTCATCACAGTCAGGCAATCTATACGAACAAAGGGAACTTATTTTCTACTTTAGTGAATTCAGAGCGCTTTGACTTGGCTACCAACATCCCCCCGGGTAGCACGTTTCAAGACTCAGCATTACCCGTTCAGACAAACAGGTTTGGACATATTGAACTCAGACCCAAAACAACCTGGCTCCACGCCGCCACTTTCCACTCTCCCCCCTCTGTCTGTGATTGGGAGGTGTTTGTCTCTCTCACTTCATCTCTGGGTGTCTGTTTGCCCGACACTTGTCTGGCTTGGCCTAGTTCCTCCTTGATCTCATCAGTCAATGTGAGGACCTGTGAAGGCCATCTCCCCATCTTGCTGTGTGAATCTCTGCCAGCTCCGTGCTTGTGTCAGCAGTTAGGGACTGACTCACACCCACGCGCGGCGTCCGGTCTTCACTCCAGGGCCCACTGGGCGAAGGCAGCACATCTCCCCGGACAGACAGCCTCATTTGCATGCCCATAAATCACTCGCAAAGCTGACACCGAGCCACACGACAAGGCATGACACGGAGCAACAAAACTTAGGGTGCCAATTTGCGGCGTCATGTGATATTAGGATCTAAGCTATTCATGCAACCTCTTGGGTGAGGATAGAGCCAATCACGCTCGAGTAGCACTTACATTCACATTGGCCAAATCAGAGGAATCAGAGAGCCTTGTAACCTGTCGCTTTTTTGTTCCTAAAAAAGACCAAAACATGGCTGATTCAAAGCGTGTCACACATTCTAAAGGGCAATGAAAGATTGTTCCTCTTTCTAAACAACTTGGCCCGACTAAAGAGCCTCAAAATGATACTTCTTGTGATTAACGACAAGGTACAGCGAGCACACCCACAATATGTCTTTTATTGGCTGCTAATACACAGCCGTACTCCTGTAAGGATGTACAAATGGGTTCAGTGAAATGTTGTTACTTGAAAATATTTTAAAACCAAATCCGCAAATTCCCTTCTCACTGTAATCTGTGTTCATTTGAATGTAATTGCAACGGTTTATTTATATAGTATTTTAATTTAGCTGTTCCTTTGACTGTGAAAGTGTAGCAATCACTGCATTCAAATATAACTGACTTTAAACTGCAATTTAAAACGAGACCTGTTTTTAAAAGTAGAGGAAAACAACCGAGCAAAATGATGCATGCTGTGGTGAACGTCATCACAACAGCACAATCACTATAAAAAGTAAACCATCAATGATCGGAGTACAATTAGTCGGCAACAAAGGATCACTTTTTGATCCAGAATTGTGATGCAAAAAAGTAAAATAATCAAATAATGCTGCTGTTGAGGCTTCTGCTTGTTGGAAATGCTCAAAGGATCAAAACATGACATTTGAAAAGCTCAACAGCGATGCATCTTTCTCTGGACGACTGACAGACCTCCCTGTCAACAGTTTGGGTTGCGGAATGTTTCCATCCGAGAAGCACAGCTGTCCACAGCTGTCCAAACTGACGTTTGTCTGTTGTTCTGAGTAAATACAACATTTTTTCAGAATAACAATTCAGCTGTAGTCCTTTATTTTTTTTAATTGGTGCTACGACCGACGATTGATTTTTTAATCAATATTATATTAGTTTATTTTTACACAAGAAAAGGGAAAATAGTATAAAGGTGATGTTGTGTCTGTAATATTACAGTGCATGGGGGAGAATTTGGACTAAAAACTTTCTAAACTACTGCACCTTTATTGGTCTGCCATTTTAACATTAACATGTCACAGTAAGACAAACACAGCAGAAAGAGCATTAAGGATGGCTGAATTCCATTTAGCTGCTTGTATGCACTCCTCCAACGCAGTCATGCTCTCGGGACCATTAAGTAAGCCCCCACATTACGTAAATAAGTAGTAGTACTAAGTCGAAATGTCAGATATAGAGAAATTACATAAATATGGTGGTTGCAAAGGTCTTGGTATCACGGAGCAGAACAATGAAGCTTTATGTAGCAAATCATTTGTGATGGGATTTATGTTTGGGGACGACCGGGAGAAAGCAACCCCACAGACCCCGCGCGGGTTGGCGGACCACACCTTGGGAACCGCGTCGGCCAACGGACAGCAGCTTGTTTCCTTGTTTTTCCTTCTAGTTGGCTACCGCTTTCTGTCTGGAACACGCACACGCGCACAGCGGCTTTGCGAGCGCGGAGTGGGAGGGGATTCATTCCCTTCCGTACCCGGTGGCGTCGGTATGGAGTGCGCGCTTCTCTCCCTCCCTCCCTCCCTCCCCCTTTTCCACTCCCCTCTACGTTCAACCTCCCGGCTTCTCAGACGCGATGACAGTCGAGGCGGACGCGTGAGTGCATCCCACAGGTGTGCTGTTGCCTAATGAGCCGCGGCTCTCGGAGACTCTCGGACACGCGCGCGCACACACTCGCACACACCTGGAGATGAGCACGTGACTCGGTACCTGGGCGTGGAGAAAGTCCCCGATATCCGAGCAGCAGAGTCTTTTGTTGGGGAGTTGCTCGGGTCGCCTTTCAAGGGGAATTGACAAATCGGCAATTCAAGTAACGTTGTCCCGTGTTTTCTACGGAGTAGTGCCCCTCCACCCCCCCCCCCCCCTCGCGGGACGCGTGGGGTGAGTAACGTGAACTTGACTCCGGACTCTTTATGTTTTTTGTTGCTATTTCACCATTTTCAATTTTAGCACTTTTCGCGTTTGTGCAACTTCTCTCTTCGCTGTTTTTTCCTCCAAGGTGAGTTCCGGGAAAGCTGCTGGATCCCAGAAAAGAAGGCTGACTGACTGCGGCACTTTTCCAAAGCCTTTTTATTTTATTTATGCACATGAGGTCCAAGTTTTAAAAGCCAACAAGACGCCCGTCGATACGGTAAGGGAGCGCTGCTCCGCACGTCACATACTGTTTATTGTTTATTATTTACTGTTTATTGTGTATTTACACGGCCGCTCCTACCGATCCTTCAGATTATGTTAAGAAAACAAAACTTTTACAGAAACAAACGCAACAACCACGAGATGCGTTTTAAAGACTTCCTAATGTCTCCAGTCGTGTTGGTTGGGTGGGCATGTGTCAGTGAAACGTTAAAAGTTGTCCCACACTATTGGACTCAACAATTGCGTGTTTTGAAGAAAGGAAAGGGAAAGTCCCCCCCCCGAACAATTCCCCCCGAGGGGTCACCAATGTCCCCGTGAGCGGACCGTGAAGCTGCCCACCAGCAGCCCAGAGGACAACAAGTAGCAGAGGGTCTCGCCGCTTTCCTTGTTCCTCTCTATCTGCGCGGAGAACAAGGAGACCGGCACCATTCATGTCCCCGTTTCAACCCCCCCCCTGTGTCTCTCTGTCCCTAGCATCGGACCTCTGTCCTGCCTTGTTGTCTTGCTAACATGGGATGCTGCGTCTCCTGGGGATTATTCCTATTAGATAACCCTACACTAGCCGTCCGGCAGTGGGAGTGGATTAGTGCGGGGGGGGGGGGGGGGCTGTTGGGGGACCAAAGCATTGGGGGTGAACCCTGCAGTCTCCCAACTGAGGTGCTTCCAAAAGATGCCATCTGCTCACATGGACACATACAAGCAATTGAAAACCCAAGCTGCTTCCTTGTCTGTCCCCTCCCTCCCTCCCTGTATCTCTCGCTGTGCCCCACAATGCTTCATTCAGGGTTTATCTCTTCCACTCTGAATAAATAGAGACACCTTATCTGCGCAGAAGAGAGTGGTGATAAATGTTTTTCTGCTCACTCGCCACAAGGGTTGAAGAACAAGCGTACCACGCTTCTTCAGCGTGGATGCTCCTTTTCAGGGCAGGGGAAGAGGCAAGTTTTCTCATCCAGGTCATGTTTGTGCTTCAGCATTCTGCAAACGCCAACGCTGTAATTCAAGGGAAACCAAGGAAGTAACGACAAAGCAGGCATTTCCATGAATACCCCCCTTTTTGGTCATAGGCTGCTGACGCTGGAAATGAAACTTTGTGGCTAAATCCGCTCTGAGTATTTTCGGATCCAGTAAAATACCCTCTGACCAACTGAGAACCGGAGGTAGTGAGCAGGCGCCCGTTAAGCTGCTGCATGTTTTAAGGGAGCCAAAAATTCGTTTTGTCCTTTTTTTCCCTTTTTTTTTTCTTTGTGTTGTACAGTTTAAACCATGTTGTCTCCTGGAAGCATGAGCCGCATTTCAGAAAGCGCTGTCATTTCTTTTTTGGGTCAAATTAATTTGAACTCATCCCCAGTCTCTTTTGTTTGCTTTGCATTGGATTACTGACTTCTGTCAATTTCATTTTGAAAATAAAACCATAATCCTTGCCATCAACAAGCAATCACATGCTTCCTGTCTGCAGCTCGTAAATGGAGAAGCAGAGGCAAACAAACTGATACGGTATGTTAATGCTATTGGTTCATCAGAAATGTTTCATTTTGAAATGACAAGTTAATCTTCTTTTGTCCTGGCCCTATTTAAAAAATACAATTTAATCTAAATAATAATTGTATAGCATTGTTCGTGAGACCCACTTTCACGTTGAAAAGCAGACTGTTGTGCACCGTACGACCAATGTCCCTCCTCTGTGGACCGGACTTTGTAAAGTCATTGGTCCTAGGTATGGCGAGTATGAGACCGGCCCATATGCATCATCTTGTTCCTCTTGCTTATCTAAAGTACACAAAGACTTCAGAAGGAAGTGGGCAGATGCGTGAAGGGCATTAGGTGGCTGAAGAATCTAGGGAGTAGAGATTTCCTCCAGATTGGAGATAGGCACGTCTTTTCATGTCATGAGGATTATCCTGTGATGAAGGGACGTCATGCTGTGGTGGATGTCTGATCTGGTTCCTGCAGGGTTTTTGGACTTCACAACCTTGTCCTGAACTATCCCCCTCAACCCCGTTCCTTTCTTTGCCCCGCCCTCTTCCGCCGATACAGCTTTGTCAGAGCTTCACTTGTCACACCGTCGCCACTTAACACGTCTACGCTTCTGTGTGCTGCAGATCCGAAATAACAAAGCTGATGTTTGAAAAGCCTCCAAAGTGCGATCATGCTAATTCGCATTGCTTTACTCCCCGGGCAGCAGGGGACGAGGGTGGGCTCTGTTGAAGAAGATGGCAGCCAATCCTCTTTAGATCCACTGCAATCCAGAGTTTAAAGTGGTCCATTCATACGTCTCCGACCCAGGCGGCAGATTTAACGTCCAAGTCTAAACTCGGCGGGGTGCACCTTTTACCTCGCTGAAACTACCGTGACATGTTCTAAACCCACACTGTCTTTCATGTTTCATGTCCGTGCACTCAACCCGTCATCGCTTGATTTCTTCTCCAACGCCAGCCCTCAAAGTTTTTTTTCCTACCGCTGCGGCCCTCACTTCTACCTTTTTAACCACTGTGACTTTTGCCCACACTGTGCTTGGAGCACGAGTAAGAGGAACATGATGAATATTGTAAACGTGCTCACGCTCCTGAAAGAGATAAATGATTCACGTGGGGAGGGAGCTGCATTAATTGCTTGGTTGAGTGGTTGTGGTCAAAATGAAACATCCTGACATTTTTTTTTTCTTTCATAAAGGTAGAGCGTAGAGAGATGGTCAACGTAATGTAAGGTTTAGAGAGGTGGGGGGGGGGGGGCAGCTGACTGAGGAAAACATGATGTCCTTTGCTGTTCAAAAGGCATGTTGCGCGGTGTTGGCTGTCAGCAGATGTGAGTTTTTGTAGTCGAGGATTGAACACTAGTGATGGATGCACAATACAGAAATCTGCCTCTGTCTCCTCACCCGCTTCCCCATGGCGGCTGAACTGACAGGTTGACACAGACACATAGTGGAGCGGAGGCTTTTGATGCTACCTGCTCACTGGAGGCATGTCAACCCGCTCAGGCCACTGGCAAAAGTTCACTTCCTTTCAGCCAGACTGCACAGACGCAGGTATCTGAAAACGAATCCGCAGCGATGAAAGCGAGGGGTCACCTTGATTCCCATCCCGGGAAATCTCAGTCAAAGGCTTCCTTCTCGAGGCATGAATTGGCAGCAGATGAGAGAGTGGGAAAGCTAATTTATTTATTTTTGCTTTTCGTAATTGAGGCTGGCACGCATCTCCTATCCGAACGCTATCCATTAAAACGCTTCACAGGGAAGTTGGTTGTGCCTGCTTCAATCAGCGCAATGTGACGGGCTGCTGTTTACACCGACACCTTTGCTTTATGATGGAAAGACTTAGATAGACGAGTGGACGCTTTGTGTCTACTCAAAGTCCTGCTCCGAATTCGGCAGTGATATATCTTTCTCACTGAGGTTTTGGTTAAAAGGACTCCGGATTAGAATAGCGGAGGCTAATGGAAACTGTGTGGAGCCACTTGTTCCACTTATAATACACTTTTTGTTCATAACTGAGTTGCTCCATGTTGAGTGCCATTTAATTCGAGCTAAGGCACCAGAGGGTGCAATTCATTTTCATCCAAGTCATTTCACAGTTAATCCTCAAACTGACCAATTTACTCCTTCATGCCAAGATCATTTTTAATTATCGCCCCCGCTTTACAGCTAATGTGACATCCAGCTGGTTTATGTTAATATGGTAGTTCCAGTCAAGTATTGTCCCTCATTTTTTATTTATTTTTTGGTAGACACGCTGTGCGATTAATTATGTAGTGCTGAATGTGAGCCTTAGCCAGGACTGGCGGGTGACAGATGCATGAAGGGTCAGTGCACTGGTTGGTGGCAGCTGGAGATGAAGGTCACACCGACCTGGGAGAGCAAGGAGAGAGGGTGTGGCGATGTGGCCAACTGAGGAAAGCTCAGTGGGAATGTTCTGTGAGAGTCTAAACTTTAATGACCCTCCTTGAATTAGGAGTTTGACTCTGAACAACCTTATTTTAAATACATGGTGCTGTAAAAAAATACACTCATGCGTTGTTCTAACAAACAAGTAACTGGAAAAATGTTTACCACTGGAATTACCATAATGCAAGTAACGGCGATTTATATGTACTTTTACATTACACTACAGATTACCTGCCAGGTGTTTGTGTGAGTGCGTCATTTACAATTTTAAGTGTTATGAAAGATTTTGGATTTTTTTTTTCTTTTGGAAATGTTTTTGTATACGTTTTTAATTGAACCACTGAAACTGTCTCAAATATTGTTTTTAACAGATTTTTGAAACAATCACGTAAATTCTGCAGGCAGAGGGTGTTGTAAAATAAAAAATGGCAGCATTCCATCTTTAAGAAGCATATGCTGACCTTATTATCTCTGGCATCTGCTGAAACCTGCTGGCAGCTGGAAATGGATATGGGGTGGCAGCTCTGCTGGATATTGGTTGTCTATCTCTTGCTTGTCTGTCTCAATCCAAATTAGAAGTCAGTCAAGGTTTTGTGGGGGAAAGATAAAATGTTCCTCATACCTTCCCGTGTTTCCCAGTGTGAAGCTTTGAGGCCACTTTTAGCACTCAGTCGGTCATTAAAACGAAAACCAATGCTGAATGAAAGCATAAAGTTCACCAGTAATTGTAAATGACATGTTTCTCGTTTGGCTGCGTGTCAAACAAAAAGTTTATACAGTTTATATGCATCAGTACTTGGTCCACGGTATTATTATCAAGCGGGGATAATGCAGCAGAGGCGAGGTTGTCGTCCTTTATTACAGTGCATAATGAAATGGTGTATGAAAATGAAATCATTTCTTTGTCAGTGTCATGTCATTGTCTCTGGTAAATGTGGTGGGTATCGTGGCCTTTCGGTAGCCTATGATCCAAGAGGGACCTATTAAAAATCTGTTCATACAGCAATTGTTAAAGTTACTGGGAATCTAGTTAAATGCCACCGGCTCTGTTGCTTCTCATCTGTAAGCTGACAGACCATTTTACAGTGGCAGCAGTAATAACACTGCCTCAA